AGAAGGGGTTGGTACGGATGGTAGGGGAGGGAAGGAGGGGGTGGGAGTAGGGAGTCGCGGCGCCGCGCGGGAGGGAGGAGTGGAGTGGAGAGGAAGGGCGGGGAAGAGACAACACGAATTTCCGCATCGGTCGAGGAGTCACAGTTGTGATAAGTCCCAATGTGGGAATGGTGAAAGTAAACAGGTTGGTTTATTCATTTGATATTTTGTAATGGGTTGTTGCAACGGAAGTACATTTTTTATTGATAACGCCTTACAAGTCGACTTGGGAATGTATTCTTCTTGGACTCGTAAAGGATTGATTCTGATGAAATAAAAATGTTCGTGGCACTGCCTTGTTCATCAAACATTTCATGACGATTTTGGTATGTGTTTATCGTTGACACGGTCTATTGCGTTAAAACGAAGACGTCAATATGACAGGGAGAGAGTTGACGTGACACAGCTTGTCAGATCTTATCAGACGTTAGAAACAGAATGTTCTATTGAGGCGTTTGTGGGCATGGCGATATGTCTACCGACGCTAGAGTAGGGGGCAATAATCGTGCAAATCAATATTGAAATATTAGATAGACCCGTGCGAACTTTTTTTCTCGTTGTGAATCATTGTTTTAAAGGGAAAAATATCTGCATGCTAATACCCAAATTCGAAAGTTTCAGTCGGGATACTGATTGGGTATTCTTCAAAAATATAATAAAATAAATGAAATTAAATAAAAATATAATAAAACATCCAAAATTAAATCACATTGTATTTTACCTCATAAGTAATATAACACATATGCTTTTGGATGCTCTAAGGCCCAGTTTGAGGATCAATGAAGCATCGTTATGCACGATCGAAAAGTGGGTTGCAGTATTGCAACGTAAAAGTGATTTGCACGTGCTTCAGCAACATCCATTGCAACGTAATCTGCGAACTTTCATTTTTTGGCATTCATTTCTGTAAACTCAAAATTCTACCTGGCGATATGTCACAGCTTACGTTATCTTTTCTTTCATCTCAGGTACTGAATGATGCTATAGAAAAGATGTTTTCCTTAAAACATATTATATTTACGCAATCTGAGCAAATGCTAGTTACGCGAATGAATTGACTCAAACAGTTTATATCGCAATGTTACATTTTCTATAGACTTTTACAAAAATCATGCATTTAATTTTTTTACACTTAGTAGTTAAATAATAATTTATTATACTAGGCAATTAAGATATACATGATCTTCGACATGAAGATATTACCTTACAAGCACCTGTCATCACTCCTAAAGTATGTTTAGGATCCTGTGTAATACTTTATTTTATTCCAATATGTTTCAAAAATACAATTTAAAAAGACGATATATCTTACGTACATGTTATATTGGTGAAGGGTTCGTGACACTGAAAATAGAGATAAGCAGTTGACACTCGTATAGAATTGTTACGTGCGAAACATAAAAGAACCGATGTCACTTGCAAATGGAAATATTTGCAAAAACGTACGTCATAGTTTGTAAGAATGCAAACAACATCTAGCATTAAATTTGCATAACAGACCATTCTTTGAGCTTTATTATAAACTACTTCCTCTTGTAGTAGTGGAATAGACGCGTATTGTGGGCGAGCGCGCATGCGCATAAGAGAGTATATAAAACATTTTTAAACGCCCGTGGGTGATAAAGATGTACTGTAACAGCATATTATTCGCCATTAAAAAGTGTCTTTAACCTTCTGAATAAAATAAATAAATTTTACAATTATTTTAAAGGGATCTAGATTATTTTTATGCTAAAAAGATAATATAGGTACAATGGAATGGCTCCATATTAACTATTTCACTAATTTCCTTCGACAAAATCTTTCTCTCAAAATCATGTAAATTACAATTACAGAAAAGAGGTTGGATTGAATGTACATATCTACCGCAAGGACAATTTTTATCATTTATAGTTTTTTTTTGATAAACTGCTAAGAAGTGAAGTGCGTCATGGGATAGTCTGGAGATCACACTGATGCTATCTACTAGCCGATGTAGACACTATGCGAGAAATACACTTAACTCTCCGACTAATTAGCGAAACTGTAAATTTATCGTAAATTCAAATGTTTTCTAGATCATTCTTCAAAGTCTCACCCCCTATGAATCACGAAGTCAAGTTTGCAAATTAACTCCATTTTGTTTGATTCATGACTCTTATGTATTTTATATGAATGGGTGGAAACAATAACAGTATAAATGACATTTTATAAATTCTGAGAGAAACGTGTTTATTTTAAGCAACATTTCAGTGAAAATTTATTTTCGTGGTTTTAATAAACAATTGAAATGTCGTGATTTTAATTATGAAACAAAGCACCACGACTCGACAGTAAAGTTGACTTAAATAAACAGATTTCTTTTCTTTTTCGTCCTTCAACCTTGTTTTTCTGTCTACTTTTAATTCCTTGTTTTCTCTCATCTTCATTTACGTTTTATCCCTCTCCTATTTCTGTATTGCGCTCGTCTAGTTCTCAACGTTGCAGAGCATTTCCTCACTAAAACACCTCACGATTCCCCAGCTAGTCCTCCACCTTTGTCACCTACTGTGAGGAAATATGCATGTCACATGATGAGATTTAATGAGCTCCTTCCACATTAATGGAAGCACTACTGCGCTGTTACCGTGCCACGGCGGGGTAAAGAATCTCTATTAAGAGAAGCTCCTGTGCGGCATACGGAAGTGCCTCGGTTCTACGTCATCTGACGGTTTAATCTGCTTCCCACACATCACCTTCAATATTGTGAGGAGATGGCCCTATGTGAGCATCCGTGAGCTGTACGTCTTTGGCCCGGTTTGCACGGAACTGAGATCAGGTCTCTGTTTCTCCCCATTGAAAGTCTGTCACTGACGTAGTTATTTAAATATAACTCTACCACCTGCTCTCCCCAAGCTCCCACTCCCACCCGTACTTACCATCTTCATTCCCCTCACCCGCACCCCACAAATTCACACTCCACCTTCAGTCCCCCACCCGCATTCCCCAGTCTACACCTTAAATGGATTTTCGATTGTAAGGTTAATTGATTGATTATTTTGGGTTTCCGGACGCATCAACTGTTACGGTCATTAGTCTCGTAGGTTTAATGTATTTTTTGACCACGAGAGATGGCCGTTTGGGATGGTGAGATTCGGCACCGAACTACATGTCAGCTTGAGGGGATTTACCCAACCAGATATCTCCCACCAATTGGAGATCACCCCAGCCGGAAGAAGCTCTGAGTTCCCAACTCGTCTTCCGACATGTGTGGTACTTGTAAGTGAGCACGTAAGTAAAGGGAGAAATAGAACAAGGACGAGGAAGCAAAGACGGGGAGCGGCACTCGGCATTTGTTTACAAAGGAATTTTTTTTCCTCAACCAAATTACTTGATTTTTGCTTTAAAGGAAAGGCAGTTTGCCGCAGATGTTATCGCTTAGAAACACTATTACCCTATTGTGGAGTATAGACCTGCTTACAAAATTTTAATAACATCTTAACTTTGATAGAATGAACCGATTATTTGCTCATTACTTTGTTCTGCGAGTTGCAATCGATCGTAGTCGTGACACATGGCGGGCAAGTCTGTGAGCGTGAGGTTATGGTTAGATTTTCAAATGTCAGGAGTGTGCAAACGTGCACGTAACAACAGAAATTGTATAACTTATTCACGATGAAGTCTCTTCTTGTTTAAATACAAGGTGTGTGAGCCCATGGGAAGCTTTGCTACAGAAGTTTGGTCTTCAACATTCCTGAACAATAACGCTGTGTGATCCGCTTACCGGTTCATGCGACGCAAGTGTATTTTTCTAAACACAAAGCCTCTGAGCATTCAAAAATATTTAAAATGCACCGAACCAATACTTGGTTTAATTTAAACAAATATATTTGAACCAAAAGTATTTTATATGATTTTAAAGTTAATTATATTTGAAACAAAAGCAATTAGAGATGGAAGACAAATAATATATTTAAATTTCTTGATTTTCCAAACAATCGTTTTTGTAAATTTCTTCACCGTTATCCTCAATTTTTTGCAGATTTTCACTAATGTAGTAATCATTTCATGTCAGATCTTTTATGAGTAACTAAAGAAACATGATCAAAATTTGAAAAATTCTCTTTGCAATTTTAATCTAATATGTACTATTTCATCCCAATCTACCCCAAAGGACTTACAAAGGCTGTAACAGGATATGGAGGTAAACTGCCCCCAATATAATTCAATTTTGAATAGAGGGGGGAATGTTTTGTGTTAGTTTGAAAGTAATTTTCCCAAAATTTTAGAAACTACAGTCTGATTATTTTGAATACGTCAGAAAAAATCTTAATACATAATAAAGAACATCTTAATACTAATATCTATTTTGTTCTTATATCTTCAACATAATCAGTCTGTCGTTTCTGAGAGTTTGGGAAAATGACTTTCAAATACTAAACATGCCCTCTATTCAAAATTGAATTAACTTTGTGGGCATTTTTACCTTCCTCATCCCGCTAGAGCCTTCCTTATTTCTGAGAGTGCATCAAGCATAATTAATAATCTGTGATATTTTCTTCTTGTGTTATCCAACCTTTTTCATAACTCTTAGAGGCGCAGAAACGTGCGTTCCAGCGCCACCCTTAGCGCATTACTTGATATCACTGCAGTGCCTCTGACCCGAAAGTCCTATGATTCGAGTCCCAACGATGGCAACATTTTTTACACTAGCTAGATAGCTAAAGTCAGAATGCTAGAATTCAGCTGCAGTCTGAAGGAGAATTCTAGCGGCCGGCTGCTCTGAATGGTAGTTTTCCGTTGTTTCTCCGATCAATACCAGGCGAATGCCGGAGCAGTACCCTAACAAATGGGCCACGGACCGCACGTGATCTTTCCTTCTTCTTCTTCTTTGTCCTTTCCTCACTCATTGCTTACACACACATACTCACACGCGATGCACTACCACACAAGTCAGGAGATCAGTATGGTGCTTAGAGCTTGTCCCAGCTGGGGCGGTGCCCCGCTGGAGGGAGATATCTGGTTGGGAAAAACCTCGCTAGCTGAAGGGTACGTCGGTGCCGGATCTCGCCATTCAGCGGGAGAAGATCATCGCCACCTCAAACACGTTAAAGCGTTCACTACACTACAGGACTAATTGTGCTAGCAGTTGACGCAACTGTAATCGCTAATCAACCAATCAATTGAGCGATTGGACGCGAGGACTTACAGTCATCCCCTCCCAGCGCAGTCACGCCTCCATCCGCCGACAACCCAGCGTACCGAAACGGTGCTGAACTCTGTTGTGAACCTAAATTCACTAGTGTTTGTACCAGGGTATTTTTTGTTCTTCCAGCAACTATTTTCCTCAACTTTAAGTTACTTTTACTTTAAGTACTTTTAATTACATTATTGTCCAAATTATTTTTTTTTCAAAATTTTGGGTAGTGTTAACTCCAAAACACCACCCAAATTTACGCCATACGACATTTCAAAAAGTTACCGAACTTTGATTAACTTGCTAGGTTCATGTTAGATACAATATGTTAGCCGTGTTTCATATAATTTTCACGTTAGTCGTTTGAAAACACACAATTGAAATAAACAATAATTAAATCTTCAGACTCACATTGTGCACAAATGTACTTTAAAGGAAAAGCTCAAAATGCTGTATTAAATTCATTGTTTCTCTCTGGACATCTTCAGTTTTTTACTTCATGTATTTATGACCAATATCCTGGTTTCTGAAGTTAAACACAAATACAACTCTATTTTTTCTTAATTTTTTCATAATGTGAAAACATAATGAATGTTCGTATTTGCAAAACAAGTAGGAATATTATATTACTTGATAAATTTTGTTTACTACAATTTACATATTTACTTCAAAGGAAATATCTGATAACTCATATTAAAAGAACAATTATACAACCTGGAAACAGATAATATCTAATTATATTATTGTAATGATAACAATAAAAATATTTTATATTATTGTACCAATATGAAGCGCATTTATTGTAAAATACGCATTATATTTAGCTTCCCTTGGGCTCAATATCACTACCCTGCGTGCTTGAGTTTCGGATTCAGAACACAATTCTGCTCCCGATCAGAAAACGACAGCACGTCAGAGCCCTCTTCCCTGGCACGGCAGGCGCTTTCGCTGGTGCAAAGCAGCGCATCCCTTTTCGGCGAATTCGGCGCGCTCAAAGGCGTATCTTTGTTAGGGCAGACGCCTCTGCCTTGCATGTGGAAGCAGCGCCACTCCGCACCACGCCACGCCACGCCCTTAACCGACGCGCCCCGATGTGCCACACTGCCACGCCCCACTTCACGACCCTCACGCCACACCATGGCGAACCCTGCCCCATATCACCTCGCGACATCCCGCCTTGCCATATCACTCCCACGCCCCACGCCCCACGCCGCACCACACCGCGCCTTGTCACTCGGAGCCTCGCCACACTGCACCAGGTCACATTTCACCACACCTCACCTCGCTACACTGCGCCAGGCCGCACCAGGAGGTCTCTCATCGCGCCACGCCACGCCACGCCACCTCACACAGTGCCACACGACGCCGCACCGCACCATGTCATGATACACTGCTCCACGTCACACCGCGCCACACCGCGGGGGAAATGAAGAAAACAGTCCCGAAAATCAACACACATACTTCATCAAAACTCAGAATTGTATACTGAATAATTTTCTATCAATTACTTCATTTCTTCATTTCGTTATCTAAATTTTTACATAATTTACAAACAGTAAATCACGACTCAGAGCACGAAAACACCCAAAACGTTACCATCAAGCCGTCAGAAATGGTAATATTGGTACAAATCTATTTTCATAAATTGTCTTATTAAAATATTATTACAAAAAATAATTAAGCATGGAGCTTAAAACTTATTAAATGCAATTATAGCATCAAAATTAATTATAATTTGTCGCATTTTATTTAAAAAGGAATAATAAAAAATCATCAATATATTTTTACTAACTTGCCGAATTTCGGGAAATATAGTAGACTCTGACAGTACGCGAATATATTTGAAGGTAGCTTGAGATATGTCAGATTCTGTCACCAACTACGCTCCCACAGTGATGGTTCTATTACAATGCAGTAGAATTTTTCTCTGATCTGTGAACGATAAGATTTTTGCCACGATTTCAATCCAGAATTCTAAATTATTTGCCAACGCCTCACAGTTCCTTTTCAGAGATATTGGATGATATGAATAAAAGTGAACAATTACTTTTTTGCTCCGAGTTTCGGAGATCCTTCTCACTTTCGTATGAATGAAGTGGGTGAGCAATTGCTCAGTCTCTAAACACTTGCTCCATCTCTGAGCGTACTCTCAACTGGCGAGCAAATGCTCAGAATTGGTATGAATAAAATTAAGCGTTTACTCTCTAGAGTGAGCACTTGCTCCAAAATTTCGGAGGGACCTTATTAGCTGACTCGCGTTTGAAAAGTAAGGTTAAAATGGACGATTTTTTTTGTTTATATTCAGATGCAGCGGACTAAAAACATTACAAAAAAGGCGAAATTCTCGTGATGTGGACTATTAGAATTTTTTGCTAATTCGAAAAGGACAATGTATGGTTGGTACGATTTTTATCAGCGTTTGCTTTC